TCCCTCTGGCATGCCTGTCTAGGCAGTGAAACCCAACCAGCAGTATTTTATAATCCCCAGTTGGCAGGCAGCTGGCACAGGGCTGCCCAGCTGGAACGCCCGGGGCTCTGGAGGAACTTTTTCAGCAGCAACAATCCTTCTCCTCCAGCTCCTACAATCCATTTGCACTGAGGATTTCAAGAAGCAGCCAGGGAAGCGTCCTCAGGCACCCTGAGAGTGCTGCCCATCTGGGGTACGACGTTATCTGCCTGTCCTTTCAATTCCCATCTCCCAGCCCGCTGTGCAGTGACCACAAAGGAAGAAATAAGCCTCTCCATAACTTGGCTCTTGATGGATTATTTCACAAAGAGAAGAGATTAAAACTAGTCCATCTCCACTCAGGGGCACATCCTCTGCCCTCAGGGCTCAGAGGACGTGGATGCTCCAGGGACAGACAAGCTCCCACAGCTCCACTCACCTGTGTAGCTGCTCGAAGGTAGTGAGCTGTCTGGTCCTCCACTTGGGTCTGAGGCTCTGCTTGCCACTCTCACTGCCTCTTCCTCTTCCTCTTCCTTGACCTCAGGTACTTCCTCCTGTAGTTGTTCCATAATTGATCACCCCTCAGTGCCAAGACTGCAGTCCCTGTCATAGCTCTGGCATCATCCGCGTCTATCCGAGATGGACCCTACCAGGCTGTTCCTGCTAGCCTGTGGGACAGAGGGAGAGACACGAGCATGAGCCACGCCAGTCCCGCTCCACGTCCTCTCCCTACCCATGGAGACAAGCAGAACCCGGGGCCTTTCAAAGGTCAGTTTGCACTCTGGTATAAACACTCTGTAGGACTCAAAGAAGCAAAACCTCACCAGGATCATATTTAAAGCCCAGCAGACAGAGTCCAGATCCCAAACCAGTTGAGATGCCACCCAGGTGTGGTGGTTTCACTGGGCTGGCAGCCAAACAGAGCCACTCACTCACTCTCCCCATCCCAGGAGACAGGGGAGAGGATTAGGGGGCGAGGGTAAGGAGACTCGTAGGGTGA